ACTTTCGATAGTATGAAAAACACCATTTGGAAACTTAATCCAGAAAGTGATGTATGTTTTCTTAAATAAATAAATAAATAAATAAAAATAAAGCTTATTTTTTGAAATCTTCTTTACAGCATTTATTAAAAATGACATTTTTGTTAATTAAGAAGAGTAACGGAATTTTTCTAGCCACATTTGCTGCCTTTTGAGCACAGATATGTCCATATATATATATGTACCTTACAGTTATTTATTAGGAAGCAGCAAGAAAAAGTTGGATGAAAAATATTTAGGCAAGGAAACAAATTGGCTACTGGACTCATGAGAGGCACAACTATTTCTCTTCTTTGACTGTTCTAGTAGTCCTGAGCAGAAGGCAACCTAATTGCTCGTGTCTTCCTTGATATTAAATATCTTCAAGCCTGGAAGATGATCTCTCATTTCCTCCATAAAAAAAGTGGACTCTCATAGAGTTTTGCAGGGACAAGTTTATCACAGAATCACTGGCTACTTGGATTACTCATAAGAGCCTGAGATTTTGGTTTGTTAAAGAGAGCTACGAGGAATTAAAAAATAACGTTCAGATTAACTAGCAAGAAAAAGTCAGGACTGTGAAATGTGCTGATTCCCTATAGTGCATGCTTGCAAAAAGGTCCTCAACCCTTTCTTTCATGCAGTGGAAACTGTTCGATGCTTGAACCCACTGTTGCAGCAGAAGGTAATAAAATTCTCACAGGTGGAGAATTACCTCTGTCATTCAAAACAGTACATTTTTTTAATTTGTATCAGTTGGCCTTATCTCTGCTTTGAACAGTTCACTTGATAGATAGTTCAGCAAATCAGCATGTGAGCTCTTAAGTGATTTTATTCACACTAAGTCAGAAATATAGTGCAGGATGGAAACAAGCCCTAGGGAAGCAGCCCGATCCAGCCCAGAGCTGCTGGCTTCTGTATTGTTCTTCTGCTGCCGGCCGTTATTTCAGAGCTTGATGCAATCAATACCACGTCCCGCCAAATGCCAGCATTTGTCATCTTAATGAAATGTGCCACATTTCAGAAATTATGACTTTGGAAGGAAATTCATGCAGTGACCAATGAATACCAGTCACTGAAAATAAAATTGTATTGCAACCAATGGCTAACTAGCCCCGTGCCCACACACTCCAGATTCAAAGGAAGAGTTATAATTAGATAATCAGTATTTATTGAGGGGGCGGTAGCTATAACAGCTTCAGTCCTGAGAGCAGCTATGTCATCCTGGATGTTGCATGAATATCTAGGTAGATTTGAGCTCTTTGGAAGATCATTTTGGAATTTGCCATAGGTTGAATTTACTGTCTCTGCTTTCTGTTTTGCTTTTCTCCTCAAGTCCTTTGATTAAGCTGATTCACTTTTGCTCCAGCTGAAGTCAATGGGAGTTTCACCTTTGATTTCATGAGGCCCTGGTCTTGCCAATATAATGGAATTAGCCTTTTGTGATGAGGGTAGTTAGATGTTAATGGCTGTAAGACGAGGAAAAGGCAAAGGTCATGGAAGAGAGGACTTCTATCTCCCATACCAAGATTAGATAAAGCAGAATGGAAAGACAGAACAAGTAGACACTGATAAATGCCAACATTATAAAACCATCAGGTAAGGGAAGGTGATGAGTCACAAAAAGACAAGCTTCAAGATCAAGCAAGAACATTTCAGGCCACCAGCATCACCAGTGACATTACATTTCTACATATAGTCTCTGGTGGCATCATCTGCAAAGTGATGGGGGTGCTGCTGCCAGATGCCCTGTGTCCTATGAATCTGCTCTATCTCCTGGGAGGGGAAAGACTGCCTCCAGCTTTGAGTCTTGCTTTTGTGCCACGATATCCAAGGTTCCTATGCACCTATACTATTGCCCCATACACAGTATTTGTCACAGCTACAAGCACCTTCTTTATTTCAACTACTTGCAGGCCTAAGCCAGCTGCTTAAAATGTACAGTTTTCATCTTGGAGTTCATATTCACCACTGGGGGCCACACTGTCTATCTAGTTACTTTGCAGATCTGCCTGAGAACGGGAAGCAGCCCTCAGAAGGGCACCCTCAATGTCAGTAGCCTGTCTGCTTCCACAGTCTCTCGCCACAGCGCCTGCCACATTTGCTGGGAGGGAGTCCGAAAAGAGAGATGATTTACGGAACAGAAAAGGAATTTTTATTGATAAACAATGAGTCATTCATATTTCATCTGAGACAGAGGCAAAGCTCAGCAACAGCAGAGAGGAACAGAAATGCCAGCAGACAGGGACTAGGCGAAACTGTAACGTGCACGTTTGAGCCTCCCTGTGTGACCCTTTGGGGAAGTTCCTGGCTGCCTAGGATTTTAGGTCTCAACCTTTAAGCTAGGTTTCATGGGTTTCAAACAAAATTTAGGAAATGAGCAAGCCCTTCTGTATGAAAAAAAAAAAAAAAAAAAAAAAAAAAACTGCAGCACAGAATGCATTTTGTTTATGGTGATGAAGCTCAGTTTCATATTTTAGTAAGATTTTATATTTTCTTGTAAGTGTTTTACAAGAAAATGATGGAACTGTTGCAAGTAGATAGCTCACAACCTTGCTATTCATTGGACATTTATTGGGGACGGAAGTACCTTTGGGAGGCATTAATTGTCACAGCTGGATACAGATCAGTGAGGTATAAGACCATATATTGTTTGATAGCCTTTAAAAGGGTCAAGTAAATTTTTCCAAGTATTCGAATGCTGAGAGATACAAAATGCAGCAGACACAAGAAAAAGGGAGAGAGAGCAATATGAGAAGAGATTGAGAATGGAATAGTGAGGGTATCTTCCTGTCCTTGAACCAACCCAAGCTGGTGAGGACTGTGTACAAGTGCTTTGGTCCAAGTGCTTTCTCTGGGATGCAAAACAGGTCTCTGCATACATACCCTTTCATCTGCAGCTGACACTGCAAAACAAAACACTACTAAGCAGCAGAAGCATTTACTTAGAGGTTTCTCAGGCAAACCTTCACTTCACCTGATGACAGCTCCCCTTGTAACAATGGTCTGGAGATTTGCTTGGTTGACTTATTGATTATTGAAAACAGTTCTTTACTGCTGACTCTCCCAGCAGCCTGTGCAGCATGTTTGATTTTAACTTTCCCTTGATATTAGGAAGTGCAAATATTCATTTTCAGAATTTAGGCTTATTAGGCATGTATTTACAAAAGAATAATGGTTCATGAGAGACTAAAGTAACTAGGGATTTTGTCAGATGAGATCCAATAAGAAAATTAATGTTATAAGCTGTTTGTCTCCATCTGCCATCATGCAAAATGAGCTTAAAATAACTGCATAAATTAGCCTTGGACCACTTAGGTAATATATTCTTTATAGGACAAGGTCCATTACCTGCAAAGATAGGCACCTATATAGATATACAGATATTTTTATGTCCATTCAGTTGAATCACTTTTACCATGTGCAGATGTGTCAGTATTTAGTGAATCAAGCCTTAAATATACCATGGAGTTATAGAGCTGCTGCCATGCCAGTGATTAAACTAATAGATACAAATGTATTTTTTTCTCTTGCTATCTGAATGAGAATTATTTTTACAGAAAGAGACGAAAAGGAATGGCAAACTTTTATGCAGTTGCTGCAATTGCCCCTTCACGCTTGCAGCTTTAGCTTTAAAGGCAGAAAGGGTCAGGGCACAGTGCTGCCAGGGCAGTCAGCATGGCAGTCTCCCCCACCCTGTCACCATCCCATTTCCCTCAGAGGTGATAAGCAGAGGCAGCTGTGACCAGAGTCTGCCATAGCCCCAGGACCACTGAGTATAGCCATGGGGATAATGAGGCTCTGTGGTGAAGCTGCTGCTCTGCCTCACACAGATCTGTCCCAGCAGCCAGAGCAGGGTGACCCTGCTGCATCCCACAGAGCAGGTCCTGGGGAAATGTCCTACATCTCCTATGGGGTGCGGTCTTTCTTCAGGACCCAAACAGAAAACTTGAATTTTTTATTTATTTTAAAAGGTTCTTTATCCTGGGTGTTTCAGAAAAAAAAAATATATATATATATGTATATATATATGTGTGTGTGTGCGTGTATAGTATTTGGTGATCATGCACAATATTTTTCTTTCTGTTTTTATCTAAACTGAGATGACTTCTGGTGTGTTTTTTTGGAAGAGGCCTTTGAAGTCTTCAAGTCTTGTATTTCCTTTAACCCCAAATAGTGAACAGTATTGAACTGCTACTATAAAATACAAGTTCCCTAAGGAGACAGACATGTTACAGTATTAATATTCTATGTAGCAACAAATATATGAAGAGGTAACTCATTGCTCTGGGAAGATATACACTCCAATGATTAAAGAAACACATCTGAGGGCAAGGCTGCTGTTCCCACCTCTGTGAGTGACTTGACATACAGCATGCAACAAATCACTTGAGGGGGGATTTGCAGAAGTCATCTGAATGACTGGAGAGATCAAGTTTGACATTATGCCACCTCCATCCTCACATATATTCAGTAATAAGTATGACCATAAATGTCCTTCATCTGATTTGTATTCACAGGAGCTATGAAAAACACCAAGTAGTGCCTCAAAGTGGTATACAGTATACATTAAATATATATTTCTCCTGAGAACAGGCTTCATGCATGGCTGTACATCCCATTTCATGAATGGCAGAACCCTGTGGACTGATGTCTTACATTTTGTCCTTCTTGGCTCTTTGCCCTGTGACTGACATCTGTTCCCCCCACTCTGGGTACACCTTTACCCATCCTATACAAGTATTCAATGATCCTTTATTGCAGTTCTAGAGCTACTTCCTAGCACTGGTTTTGACTCTGCTCTGCCAGGTTGCTGTAGTGTAGCCAGCGAGAGCACATCTCACCTGAGAGTGCTATTGTCCAAGCCCACCTTCCCACCCTGTCACTGCCCTTTCCACTCCCACTGAGCTCTCACAACGCACCCTGAGATCAGACAAACTCCAACATGTTCCCCCTCACCAGCACATTGCTCTAAACTAAAATTTCATCTGCTGGTAGAGCCATCTGTAATCAGCTGGCAATTTCAGCACAAAGGGAGCACTGCAGAGGCACTCCTTTCATTTTAGCAATCTTCTAATGAGCATATATCAGAAGGCTTTGAATTCAAAAATCAGAGGCAGTAAGCACCTGTAGCACCCCTCAATGGAGAGCTGTTTGTGCTGAACAGTCCTCTATCAATCAATTCCATCCTCCATCTCAATTAGTAGGCTAAACATAGCCAGGAATACCTCACATCAGGCTTCTAAATGTGGTGTCCAAAAAGGGAGTTGCTAAACTGAAATCCCTAGAAGCTATTACAGTGAAGAAACAATTATCTTTTCCTTCAGCTCCTTGACATAAATATAAGAAACATATGTGAAATGTTTTTGTTTGTTTGTTTGTTTTCAGAATAAATATACATGTAAGTCAGCATTCAGGAAGCCTCCAATAAGGCTTTGAGGCAATTGGTATATTAACAAGTTGTGGAACTTGGTCTGAATTTTTGTGTAGACCCGTGTGGTGCCAGGAGTTGGACTCAATGATTCTTATCAGTCACTTCCAACTCGAGATATTCTGTGATTCTAGTGATTCTCTTGCTGAAGATTTTGAAGAACTGGGTAAATATCTGTCAGGAATCGTGTAAGTCTATTTAGGAGGGAGGGGTGGAGGGGTAGGGGGAGACTAAAGGGAAGTTTCTTAAGGTTCTGGTTATCTCTGATTCTCTGAGATTAAATGTGTCTAAAAACATCAGGCCAAAATAGAAGAGACAGTTTCCTTTTAGGACAATTCTAGAAGAAAAAAAACAAAATTATTGTGCTATACAGCACTGCACTGAATTCAGCTGTAAAAGCCAACATAAACATTCAACTAACTGTGCATACAAAATGCACACACAGTTATCATAGTCATCATATGACTAAATGTGTATTTACCTAAAGCCATTACTTCCCTAGCCTTGCATTTTTCTGTAGGCATTGACTGATACTTGCAATTATGGTGATTCCATGCATAATTCAGGGCAAAAAGACTGGGTCAGGTTCATAATGTTTTGTTGTTTTTTTTCCAAAGAAGCATCAATCTTCTCCTTAGAAAGAGAAAAAACAGTGAAAAACTGATTAATAAAAATAGCAAGCAAGCAAGCAAGCCAGCACCTCCAGCCCAAGTGTGTCGATTATAATTCATTCCATTTCAGCTGCAATATTCAAAACATATCATGAGCACCATGCAGTGACGCATATATATCCATGCCAAAGGAATGTGTATCACAGAGCAGTATAGCATATACTACAGTGACTACCTGGATTTTGAATCCCCATTCCTTCCTAAAAATATAACAACTTCAGCAAATTCTGTGGCATTAGTCCAGATTTATTTTGGTGGAAGAGTAAGGAAACGCAACTGCTGAGCTGTCGGTTTCCCTGAGAAGTCATTCAATGAGAAGTTCTAACAGAGAAAGGTTTAGATAAAAACAGCGTAGAAATCTAAAGATTAAGAGTGTGTTGGGGAAAAAATAATAATAATAGTAACCTACCATAACCCAAAAGGTTTTGAATGACTGATGGTAGTCATAATTATTTTATTTTGATATCTGGATTGCCTAGTCGTGCCATACATATTGGAAGTCTGGAATGGACATTTCAATGTTTTGCCCAATCCATAATGCTTTTGAAAAAGTTATTTTTCTACCCATATTTAAGTGGAAAGCTTTCTAGAAACTGGGGAGCTTACCCTGAAACAATTTTTCAAGTATGGTTTTGTTGACGTTACAGAATCCCAGCTGAAATTTTTCATGAGTCGTCTCCAGAGATGATGCATAATCGGCTTAAAAGAAAGAGAACACAGATAAGACTAAATCATCCTTCCCAGTGTTACTGAATTTGCAAAAGCAAGCCATTTCTAGTCATAACTAGAACTAGTCATAGCTCTGATGCTGTTGTTTTGAGTCTTTATATTTTATATATATATTTTAAAATATATTTTTGGACTTAATCAAAATGCTGATATGTTATGAATTAAGACAAATTTCATGGAATCAAGGAATAAATCACTACCTATTCTGCTTTAAAGACCCTCTGGCACTGACATGCCTTTCTGAAGGAAAAAAGTAAACAGCAGAAAGGGAAGCCCTCAGCAGAGGTGATCTCAGCTGAAGGCAGAAAGGACTGACATTAAATAGGCTAAGCCCCACCCAACACATTACAGGATTTTAGCTTCCTAAGAAGCTGCAAGTATTCACAGTTGATGGCAATAACCTGGTGATAAAGAGGGTGAAACAGCAGCTTTCTGCTCGCATTCTCTGGATTTAATATTGAGTCCCTAAAAATGTAGAATATCATGTTTTGACCCTTGACAGATTGAGTAGTGATGATCCTGCAGAACACGCTACTGATAATCTCCGTATTGCTGCTACAAATGCCAACAGAAGCTCTCCTCCTTGTCGAGTTTGGCCCTAAGGTAGCCAAGCTCTTGAATTCATTTTTAAAGGCTGTACATACAAGAGTGCTTGAATGGCTCAGGGTATGTTATCTGGGCTTTTGACCCTTGCAGATCACCTTCATCAACTAGCATTTCTTTAAGCCTTCATCTAGCTGAACTTTTTGGCTGTCTACTGGATGAATGCAGGCTTGAGGAGATGGGCAATGCAGTATTTGAAAGGCCTTCAATTCTTCATTTCTACATTGAACTGGCTTTTTTTTTTTTTTTTTTTTTTTCCTCAAAGCAATATTTTCAGTTTGGCAAGACCAGAATTAGCAATTATTACAACACTGTGTTCACCTCTTATTGTCATGCTACAACATGAACATGAAATTTACTTGCAGACTTTCATTAGTTTTGTTGAGAAGCAGTTTGAAAATGGAAGATGGATATTTTAAAGTGTACTGGATTTTCAAACTAACATCCAGTGAAGCCAGCACAATACCTGTCAAAACTTCACATCTAGTGGCTGCCGTTCCTCTGCACATCCTACTTTTTATCCCAGCCAAGATCTAAGCAACTTTTATTCAGACTTCAGAGTCAATAGAAGGGACACTATATTCCAGTAACAGTTAACTGGGAGTTATAAGGACTGAGGATGGCCAGTGCAGGAGCCCAGCACACTAGCTGTTTCCTCACAGCAGGACTGGGAATTGGGAGAGAGGGGGAATACATGATTGAACAGAGTTTGCATGTTAAGAGTATCAAACACAGCTACCACATTATTCTCAGGGGCAAATTAAATGTAAGGGCTAGCCCTTCATGCTGTACAGGAGGACATCACAGTTCTTGTACAAACATACATGCTCATGTATAAATACCATATATACTTGAAAGTGCACCCAGACACACATACATAAGTAATCTCAAGATCCATATTAAATTGCTAGTAAGGAAAAAAATAAATAAATAAAATAAAAAAATGTTCCCAGTTTAAACTCTAAAGATAAAACACTTACTAATATTGAACATGTGTATTCCACATAGCTGTTTTGAATACTTCAGTTCAAATATTATCCATAAATATCAGGCCTGAGCCTGAGCCCACCACACCAGACACTTTCCTGAAGCTTGAAAGCTGTTTAATCTTCTTTTCTGGCCTCTCTGAGATAACTTGCGAGTAGATTCTGTAAGCTCCTTATGTTGAAAGGTGAGCACAGTGCAAAGCTAGAAGTTTGCCAGATCCTTTCAGAGGGTGGACACATGCTGAGCTGGGCCAGTTATGACAGTACTATACAGTCAGTAAACATTGACAGACTTCAGAATTTTGTACAAAAATCTGTGTACACTGAAGCAAATATATATATATTAGGCATTTCCTCATGACTGTAAGAAATTGCTAGGAAATTACCGAGAGAGAAAAAAGACAAATATTTTTAAATGAATGTTCTAAATCTTTCCCTTTGTGACTGATTGAAATGTGAGTTATGAGGTCTTGGTTCAGCCTTTTATTATGAGACACTGAGCTTCTGCAGGGTGTTTTTCTCCTTTCTTTAATTTAGATCTGTGAAGAAAGAGAAAAAAAAAAAAAAGCGTGAAATACAAATAAATGACAAAGCACTGAGAATTAGGCCATTTGTCTGTAAAACTAGATATAATCCCCAAAATAGCAAAACACAGAAAAATGCATCAAAATGTATTAGAGATGACAAGCCATATATTGCATGGGCTATTTATGCAACTGTAGATCACATACCAGTACCAGTGAGTCACAGAAGCCTAACATAAAATGTAAGAGACATCATACAGATTAATGTTAATTAAAATGAAAATTACTGTTAAGTCCAGCATTTTGCTAGATGTGGTTACAGATTAAAAGGCCAGTGAGATGTTCACAATGATGAGCAAAATAAAAATTTTCACCTTGGAGGTATGTATATATATATATATATATGTATATATATATACATTAATATATTGCTAGTAGGAAAGAGTGGTGGAAAAAATATCATTCCCTGTGAACACACCATTTTAAATGCTAAAGTGATCTTCATTTCACAATACCTCTACTGGGACTGTACATTCATTGTAAAACCCCTTAGCTGTTGCCTGATGGAGATACTATATGTCTTAAGACCAATGTGCAGACTTCATATTTACCCAGTTCAGTTCTCTTGTGCTTAATGTTTCAACACAGTTTCACTTGGGTTCAACTACCTCTAAATACTGGGGCTCAAAGCTAAGGCAGGCAGCCATAGGGCAGCGGGGCAGCCTGGAGCAGGGACCTCCTCTGGTGGTCTTGTCCCACCTCACCCGGAGGTGATCAGCACGGCCAGGCTGGGGATGGCTACAGGGACAGGACAGCTCTGGATTCACAACAGGGAAGCAAGCATAGGATCAGCATCAGAGATGGGCAGGCACAAGTACCTGATGTTTCCTTCTAGAAGTCCTGAGATCACCAAATTTACCTCGACAACAAAAAATAGAAAATATGGCAATACAGGTCTGATGAGTGTGGTCTTCAGCCTCAACTGCAGAGAGCCACCAAAGAAAGGAGCTGTGCTGTAAATTAATACTGTGACAGTTTTCTTTCCAGTGCCCCTCTGGCATGTTTTCACAAAGCACCATTTGTTTTTGACTGAGCTTTGTGACATTGTATTCTGTCCAAGTTTAAATACACACATAGGACATTTGCATCCTTGCACTGTTTCTACACAGCAAGAGGTCCATAAAACTCGTCAGAGTTTCTCTTAACTTACCTGAGCATAAGAGGTCAGACCCACTCTTCTGATCACTTTCATCTACCAAATAGCGAACATGCTTCTACAGAGGCCAACATTTAAGGTCTTAGTGATGTAACTAACTGCCACAGCCACTGGAAATGTTAAAAAAAAAAAAAAAAAAAAAAAAAAAAAAAAAACACTTTACATATAGGAGGAGAAGAAGGAAACACTGCATGTGCTGCTTTCCTCTCTAAGGAAATGAGGTATTTCATAATGAAAGTTAGAGGGAATTTTTATATAATTTTTATATTCCTTGAGTTTTGTGATTAGATCACCCCAGTTTCCTATGATGATAAACTTAGGCAGGACCATAGATCAGAGCACAGACCTGGCAGACAACACACATGCAGCCACCAGTGCCACAAGACCTCTAAGGTAAGATTTGTGGAGTCACCTGAACTGAGTCAAGAAGGAGCTTGCAAAAAAAGCATTGCCATTCCCAGTCTCCCAAGACAGGCCATCCTCTTGACCTGTGAAATTTCAGATCAATATAGTAACTGTTTATGTAATTATGATATTGTTTGTTAAGGTAGCGTTCAGTGCCCATTAAAAGATTTCTGCCTTGTTAGATTAGATGTACTCCAGTCTATCTTGGACCTGAAAGGGTTGTACCCTTTCTGGATAACATTTGTAACTAGAAGAGAAAAGGTCATTCATAATTATTTTCCTGGTGTACTGGCTTAGCTACTCATCTGATTTATCACGTGTCCTTTTTGACACAACATGAAACAATAAGAGAGTTAGATTGTCTTTAGGGAAAACAGGCATTCAGCTCGCAGAATACATCAGTTTCAATAACACACTTCAAAGGAATCCAACTCCTTTCAATATATTCAAGGATTTGTTCACCAGTTTGGGTTGAGCTGCTTGCAAAATAGAAGAAACCTCTTTGTGTGATATAACCAGATGCCATTTCCAGAGCCTGTGACATATGGGCCTTCAGACGTGGAGATAATCACAGAGGATAATTCTTGAGAGCCCGTTAGGATTCCAGAGGAGCTGTCTTTGCCATGTGGTGCTTGCTGATGTCTAAATATGATAAATTCACTCACTTTATTTTCAAAAACACAGCTGAAAGATTTTTAAAAGGAGTAACAAGAAAGCAAGAAAGTATAAACCCTAACCACTCAATCAAAGTGAAAAATATATTCCTGATTCCATCCAACTTCAAGGCAAATTAATGAACTAAATAGAAATCTGCAGCTGAAACTCACTGATATGAGAATAATCTAATTTTCCACAATGAGGATTTCAAGGGAGCCTACACAAGCTGTTGTTCAGTACAGGGTTTGGGCAGGCACAGGGTATACCCCAGTCTTTAAAAACACTACCCCCACCCCAAAAAAACCCTCAACCTTTGTATTCAGCATAAGAAGCAAAGAACATAATGCTTATGTCCTTATCACAAAAGGTATTTCAAAAATATCTCTTACGACAGAAGCTCCAAAGTACCAGCTTCCCCAGCTGTGCACATGGGGTCCAGGATGGCATTTTTTTCATATGTCATTCCCACTCTGATAATGGCTCTCCAGCACTCACAAAAATAATCCTCCAGGAGGAGAAATGAAAGTAGATGGTTAGGAGTGTCTAAAACACCACTGACGTCTATACTACACATCTTCACCCTGCACAGGAGAGGGCCAGAAATCCTCCTTCCTCCATGGATGTGGCTCCTTTTAGCTACCTCCTACCAACGTGCCTGGGAAAGGTTCTGGGTATGTGTATGCAAGGGCTGGAGTGTGGAGAAGACTACAGCAGCATTGGTTTGATGTACTCTGAGCAGGCTTTGCACCTACAGGAACTACCACATGCGTTCATGCTTTGTGCAGGCCAATGGCCACATACAACTACATTTCATGCAAAAGCCATTGCTCTGCTGACCTGCAGCATAAAACTCAGAGTAGAGATCTCAGACATTCTGAAATGAAGGACATGGGATAACACCAATATGTCAAGGCTACAGGCTCACCTGAAGGCCCGAGAGAAGGA